CCTATCTTGTGCTGAAAAATGGTGTTAAACCCTACAACAACAACAACTAACATATTCAGTATGTGTTTTTTCTGAACAAACCTTGCAGGATTTGCAAAAATTGTAAAAGTTTTAAATTAAAACCAGATTATTTCTCATAGTAAAAATGTACACAATTATTATACTTTATAAGTTTAGGGAAAAATGCAGTATAAGTTTGTTAACTTTGGACTTGATGGGCAGAAGGATTACTAAATGAAGATATAGATGTACAATTCTGTTTTAAAAAATGAAAGAAATATTCTTCCTTAGAAGATATGAAGATTTTAGCATCAAGTTATCAGAGTGTGGGAGTGGCACCAATTTTCTTGTTTTTTTTTATTTTTATTTGCATCCTTTACACAGAATGCATCACCCAATATACATTCAATGAATTCTGTATTATTCATAAGCAAATGTTAGCTATATATGTACACTTTTAATACAATTTATGGCCATGTATGAGATACTATTAGAGCAACATTTGCCTGTGTGCATAATACACATCAGTTATTAATTTCCTTAACTAGTAAACCATAATACATTAACCAAACCTAAATTGTTAGATTACAATATTTCTGTTCAAAATTTTATATGCATCACATATGTAAAACACATATTTAAACATTTATACAGTGGCATCAGATTTAATTTCTTCTTATATTGTTTCATACAGTATTTACACAATAAACACATTTTGATAGAGAGGTTATCAATGAATTTCTGCACACAAATGATAAGACTCTTAAACCAGGCAGAATTAAGTATACAGTTAACAATGGTATTGAAAAAAAAATGCTACAGCATGATAGCTTTTGACTACAACTTTTATCTATTTTGTTATAAACTGGAGGCTCAGTATACAGCAGTAGGAGAGAGAGAGAGAGAGAGAGAGAGAGAGAGAGAGAGAGAGAGAGAGAGAGAGAGAGAGAGAGAGAGAGAGAGAGAGAGAGAGATTGTGGTGGCACAGAATGTTTGCAGCTTAAAAATACTTCTCATAATTATTTTAGAATAGACAGTTCTAGATGGACATGGCTATGCTTGATGAACTTGCTTGAAAATATTCAAGCAATATGGTGTTGAATATTTGTTTTCTCTTTTTTTCTTGAGTGCTTTTATTAGGCTGCAAGTTCCATTTTGTTAAATATTGTACACTTTTACAGATGTAGGGAAGCAATTCTCATGAAATTATTGATTATATTTACACCTTAATTTCCAACTTCTCTAAACTATCACTGACTCAGAACTACAAGCTCTTATAACTAAGACCAAGTAGCCAAGGCAGGTGCTCTGATAATTAACATAGATTGATGTATCACTGGACAATCAGGACCAGCAAATCTTTTGTCTATCACATATAAGTGATAGCACTGATTAAGATGGGCTTTAGAATACTTGCATTTAGAGCTGAAGTAAAACAAATGCACATCAAATCTATCTTCACTAATTCCTATAAGACAGTGTTGGAACCTTGCTGCCTGAAAAGTTAACCACTTCCTTTTGAATAGAGTATCACTCTGAATGTAGAATGAATATGGTCAATTTTCTATGCAGTGTATTGATTATAATTGAAATGAAATAAAAGGTAGTCTGTTGAAGCCATTTTGTGAAGCAGAAAATAACTTATAAGACATGACATAAAAGAACTTTCTTTTCTATGATATCAAAGTAGGTAATATATTGTGTTGATAAAAATCAGATATAAATTTTGTTTTCCTTGTGGTTTTAAGCAAATGTTATTAAAGTCTCCTTCAGCAGCTATTATTTTATCAATCCATAGAAACCAGATTTTAATGGATGATTTTTTTCTTGTTTTTATTGGGGTATTGTAAGCACTTTTTGACACATTATTGGCTATATCATGCCAAGGAAATGTGAGTGAAATACTTTTCCCCAAGGACACACCAAAGCAGTTGGTCCAGTTCTGGCCTGAGCAAGTAACAAATTGTGATTAAGAGTATGATTATACATGCATATATACATACATACATTTTTTGATTGCTTAGTTTATTTTATGATGTTTTAAGTAATTTCTAGCATGTCATGCACGAGCTCAAATTAAAATGGACTCATCTTCAAACTAAAACACCTCTGCTAGCCACAATAGTGACTTATTTGAAATAGCAAAACTTCTCCAGTTTTGGCTAGATGATAAAAATTTTCAAAAGAATTTTATGCAAATTCCAGCTTTCCAGTGCCTCCTTTTTTAATATGTGTTTTCTCCTACATTATCAGAGTACAGCACCAAAGTAAATACATATTACAATGACAATAAAGTGATTTTAAACATGTTAATTTTCAAATAGCAAATATGACTTTTTCGGGAGGGGGGACTTTGTGACATCATATTATAGGGGGGTCTGACTTTTTGTGACGTCTGACGAGGGAGGAGGGGGTAAAATCTGCTAAAATCTTGTGACAGCATTTATGGATGGCCCCTTAGGAGACAATTTACCCACTGGACAACACTATAACGGACATGTACCCACTGGATAATATTATAGGAGATAAGTTATTCACAAGATGTCAATAACTGAATTGTCATTGTTCTTCTTAGCATGTAAGTTTTTATCAGGTTGTAGGAGTGCATGTATTTGGTATGATTCAGCTGGGAATCAAACCCATAATCCCCCAAACCTGCTGGCTACCAGAGTGGTCCTGAACTCAACAGAAAAATGTATATAGTCCTTACAAAAAAAAGCAGGCTGCTGTGCTTTTTTGGTATAATGGTATGATGGTTTACTACTCCTCCTTATGTTGTTGTTGTTGGGCTTAATGCCATTTTTTAGCAAACAATAGGCTATACATGGTGGCCAGTATTCATGGTGAAGGAAGAAACAGGGAAATCCGTAGAAAGAACCAGATCTTTGAGAAGCTACTGGCAAGATTTCTCATGTATCCACATTCACGAAATCTTAGACTCAAACCAATGCAGACAGAGGTGAGATAGCAATGATCCTTAAGGAACAGCGCTTTAGACCACTCAGCCACTCAAGGCCCCCTACTCCTTATGATGTTAAATGTAAAGCTGTACCTTCAGCTACTGCATTACAAGTAAACCACATTAAGTCATATAATGCTTAACCTAACATATATAGGACCATAATAGATTATAATTATACATCGAGAAACAACCTAGTTACACCTCGACAACACCCGCATTTCAGGGTCCAAAAACACAGACCATACTATAAGTGAGGGTGTGAGTTACTAAGAGATCTAAAAAAAAACAACTAGACATCCAGAAAACCGCAGGGTGGGGGTGGGGTGAACTGGGCTGTTTAATGGCTGAATAATCAATTTTATAATAGAGTCAAGAAAAATTGTCAGTAAAGCACTTTCTGATGAAGTTGTTCATTTTATATATATATATATATATATATATATATATATATATATATATATATATATATATATATATATATATATATATAGATGCAATAAACTGACCACGAACAGTATGAAACTAGTAACTAACTAGCCTAAGCGCTTTCGACTCTTAATGAGTCTTTTTCAAAGGCAAATACAAAACATATACGATAAACAAAAAAAACACAAAAATGTTGTGTTTGTAAACCTCTACATTTCTATCTTCACATGTGCTAAAACTATAAATACAACCAGCTTGTATAGACTAGATGCGGAAACTGAAAACGTATAATTACCTAAAAGTCTACAAGCCAAAGCGACATCTATTTTTACTTTTTGTACATATGTAACGCAGATTATATCCCGGATATTTGATTCTATACTGGTTATTCTTATAGTAAAAATTGAAGGATAATAAGATTTAGAAAATGTTAAATTTTACTAGTGCATAGTTTTCATTTTCTAGTCTTCTTGGTTTAGACCACTTGGTTTCAATGTTCTAAGGCGGCGTATCCAGTATGATTCCTTTTCCTTCCTGGTTTTGGAACTCCAGCTGTGATTGTTAGCAATAGCGATAAGTATTATATCACTGAAAGTGTGGCCAGGGGAGAAGTATTCTGCGACCGGGCTTCTGTACAGCTTTTTTGTCATCCAATCAGATCTATGAAGGTTTATCCTTTTGTGTAGCTTTTCAGTTTCTCCGACGTACTGAAGGTCACAGATCTTACATGTGATGAGATAAATCACATTCTCTGTTTTGCACGTTTTGTTTGGACCATGTATGTTTAGTTTTTCTTAAGAGTCGAAAGCGCTTAGGCTAGTTAGTTACTAGTTACGTACTGTTCGTCGTCAGTTTATTGCATCTATTTGAATTAATCCCTGACACACGTGATCCCTTGGTGGATCCAGTACGCTTGAAAGGAATGTTATTCGCCATATGATTTGTATTCTTCATATATATATATAATTTATTTTATCAATTATTTTCGAATGTCCAACATCGAAAAGATCTATAACATGATTGCAACTGGTTCAACAACCAAACACAATAGGCAAAAACATTCATGCATTACTTCACACCTTTTTGTGTTGTTGATTAGACTGGTTTCCAGAGTGATGTGTAAGTGTTTTATGAAACTAGGTGTCTTTGAAGCAAGAAGCAAGGAACAAGAGTAAATATCAAACAAGATTCCTTTTTATCAAAAACATCATTTATTTCATGAGACAATTTTTTTTTTATTTTTCAATTAATAAGATGTTGATGCCGTGATTTCATTGCAAAAGTAATATTGAAACTTCTTATCATCCTTAAGGATATCTCCGTCATGTAAATTCAGGAATTCTTAAAAACTCACTTTTCCCATAATGGTCCATATCTGTGATGTGATGTGATGATGATTTTTAATGTAGCTTTAACAATTTTTCAGGCATATCATTAAATTGTCTGCTGCGTGGCAGTTTATAATGACGTCTAGCACTGGGGCATCATGCCGCAGACATGAAGCATGATGTCCCATTATCTTGACACCAGGCAGACCAGTCCTAATACTAAACTCTTAATGCTGAACACCAAGCAAAGCAGCTGTTAGTACCATTTTTGTAAATCTTTGGTATAACTTAACCAGGGATCGAACTCTAAGCCTCCTGCGTCTGAGGCGGATGCTCGAACCACTAGGCCACCAGAGCGGAATCCATATCTGTGAAAAAAATCTTTTTATTTTATGAAGTACTCATTTTGCTTGTTACCTTGCTATCTTTATTCACATTTATGATTGAGTAGGTTAATTTAAGGTCATTTAGTCAGATATGTACACAATAAAATATATCACAGTGTTGGATTAATCAACTGAAATGAGTTACCGGACATACGACCAATGCTGATGGTTCTTAAGCATGTAGGATTTGTATGCCTTTTGAATTTTCTTTTTAATTCCATGGTTTTTTTATTCAACTGGCATAATTACTGTAATAATAGAAATGAAGGCTTGCTTTTTATTTAGTGAAACAATACAATTGCTTCCGCTAGTTTGATATAAAAACAGTAGGCACTTAATTAGGTTCTCTGAGAAATGTTTGCGGTCATAGCTTTTAGTAGATTGACACATTTTAAGTGTAATTACAAGAGGACACATTGCTTTTATGATGATTACACTTGAAAGGAACTAAAAGCTAGAACTATAACACAAATTTCAATTGATAAAAAATTTATTTATTTGGTAATTATATTTTAATGTACTGCCTTTACTTCATGTAAACCTTTTCAACAAATAGGGATCAATTTTTTAAATATTTTCTGGTTTAAAAAAATGAGATCCACGCCTGACCTTGCATTATAAGCGGATTCAAGGGCACAAGTTGTTGAGGGATTGGTGTATAAATTCTTTTATTTTAGAACACAATATTTACAACTATCAAAACTGAAAATGCTTTTCAAGAGTAAACAAAAAAAATAAACAAAAGAAACATCACATATACAAGTATAATTTCATAAAACAAAGATTACAAATTTCAAATAAGTACAGTAAACAATGCATTTATATGTCTGCCCCATGTACATTGGCCATCTATGGAGGCTCAAGTAGGATATATTTGACTCTGGAGATGAGTCTGGATGACCTGGACTCGCTGTTAACTTACTATATAAAACCATTACTTTCTATTTAGGCTTATCATGACAAGTCACCAAAATTATATAGATTTTGGTCTAAATAGAGAGCAAGCCATCAGTTCAGTCTCACTCTACAACAAATGTTATTGCACAAAACTCTTGAGGGGGGTTGCAATGACCTTTGAACTTTTGACCTACAATCAAACAGGCCTCTTCCCCTTAAGAGCAAGTCCTCTGCAAAACTTTTGTCAGGGTAAGTGGTACAGAACTGAAGGAGCACAAAGTTTAGTCCAGGTTTGTGATATAGAAATATATTATTGTGCTGAAACCTCATTTCTTCTTTCAATCACAGAGACCTTCAACTTCAATATTTTGACTCAAAAATTTATTAGCCACTTCCTTACTCAAAAGTGCAAGCCATCCATAATGTTTGGTCCTGGTCTGAGACATAGAACTACTTTTATTGTGTGGAAGTAATTTTCTTCTCTTAGTGACCATGAATTCTGACCCTCATATCCATAGAATTCCTCCGTACCTAAGAACAAGCATCCATGAAGTATGGCAACAAGAGATAGTGATGAACTCAAGGATAACAAACTGTCATAACATCATATACCTTACAGTATGGCTGGCATATAAAATGTTCACAAAAAGAATCTCAAAATGACAAAAGCAACAAAATAAATTGTCCCATTTTTATTTTAGATGAAACAAAACATTACACAAATATAGAAAACTAGATCTGTTAGTGATGGGTAAATTTTTTAAAACAGCCTTAATCAGATGAACTTATGCTGGGAAACTGTTCGTTGAAATCAATATGCAAAATTTCTGGGAAGAGAAGATGACAAGCAAGGAGCATAACTCTGTTCTAAAATGGAGACAAGACATAAACTAGCATCTAGGTCTATGCGATCAAATTCAAACCAAACTGCATCTGAACATGCGGAATGGTTTGCCAACAACAAACAACAATGCATATGAAGATCAGTATCATGGGTCATAACTATCCAAAAATGCAGCTGACATGACAAATCCATCAATGGCACATGAAACTGTACACACCAAAAGGCAAAAGAATAAGTTGAATGGTCTGCAATCTAGGTTGGTTAAAAGGATAAATGTGCAATAACTCGATCAAACATTAAGATGAAAAGATTAAACCTTTAAAATGCACATGTACACAGCATAGGTAATTTACCTACCTGATTGCAGTGTGAACAGACAGACAGACAAAATGGTGATCCTGAAAAGGCTCCTGCATCTAACTGAGGAGACCAAATTATAACAGTCTTTCTAACAAAAGTCATCTAATTCCTCTATGTTATTAGAGAACACCATGGCAAATTAATTCTGCAATTCTATAAACAGATTGATCTTACACCAGTGCCGATTTAAATTTTTTAAAATAAAATTAATTTAACAATTTTTATCAAACCCAGAATGAAATGATTCTACGAGTGAAAAATCTAAGATTTTATTTATCACATAATGAAAATAAAATGATTTTGTGGAATGTCAGTATTATGGAAAAACTCTGAAATACATTTGCATGCTTGTCATCATATCTTTGATTTATATGACATTATATGTTACATATTTCAAAAATTATTATATGGGTATGGATATTATTCAAAGAAGCATATTTTTATCATTTGGACCTTCCATTAACACGTTTTCCATGAATTTATCATCTGAATATATATTGTGCTTCTGTAATAAATGGAATGCATGTAGATAAATATACATTATATATATACAAACTAATTTTCTACAGACAATCTGAATTTACAATGCTAATATAAAAATATATATATAAAAAAACGATATGTACACCTGATATGTTTTGATATTGGGTGGGGCAGAGCACCACCAAAATGAAGAAAATTTTAAAAATAATACATGATAGCCTCACAAATGAAACAGATCATTTCTTTCTATTTTAATTCTGGAGATGAACTGATATTTAATGTACTACTTACACATAAGCCAAGCCAGATGCAAACACCACAGACTCTGATCTGATGTGCTGGCAGATCGGGATCTATGTTGTTTTTTTTTTCTACTGATTATTCCTAGCACTCTTCACAGACCCAGGTTTGTGATTGTATTTGGTTGTAACCTAAATCTTTGTATCTACTACAATCATGTAATTTTCAACTGAATTTTGAATCAATTAAAGCAACATATTAAACAGAATTTGAAGTAAAATTAGTTTACCCACATTTTCATGAGTGAGAAGCAGGTCTGCCAACATTTAAGCATACTTTTTTCTACAGCTCAGGAATTGGCATAAAAATATTTAAATTTTCTGAGTAAATTTTCAAGGGAAAGGTCCAGTCCTGGAGATTTATTAATAGACACATTTATTAATAGGCTGGTATTGCTAGCAAATAAACCCCAACTTTTCCCTGCATACACATAGGAATTCACAAACTATCTCAATTCTCAAGAAAGAATATCACAACAAAATGGAATGTAGCAAACAATTCTCACAACCATATTCAGTGGAATGAGATTAATTTCCCAACCATCTTATAGTTGGTAAGACAATAATGATTGATGTAGTCTGCTATAAACATTTTCTAACAACACCTTGCTGTGTTCTCTTTAGCTAACAGAGAGTGGACAAAATGTCTGACCATCGTGACTCTCCAAGAATATTTTCTTTCAGAACATATTACTTGGAAACAGTTTTAATACAAAAGTGAGTTAGTAACAAAATCAGTTGAAGTCTTGTTCATTTACAAAACAAACTAAAATATAAAAATGATGACAAATTTAAAATGAAATTCTTTACGATAAATGTTGTACATCCCAAACACCTGAAATGGGATGTACCAATGTTTTAATGATACCTATAAAATAACTTTAGGATCAATCAATTTTCACGATGGAACATCAGAACCAGTCTGTTCAAGTTGTCATATTTCCATTATGTGTTTTTAACATTACTGACTGACCCTGTAAAAAAAAGATTTATTCAAGATCTCAAAAGGCTAAGACTGTGTACAAATTCATTTAAAATCATACAATTTCCAGTAAAGTCAACTTAGAGAAACCAAATTCTTGACCAATGAACACAAAGATAGACAAAAATAATGAAAAGAGGGCTGTAATGATAACCTAACGGGAAAGTTACAAAGAATTTAATACTTTGTCCATAGATGGAATTTTCATTTCTTTTCACATGAAAGAGTAGACTCTTCCCATAATATATAAGATTTTTAAGAGTATTTTAACCTAAAGTTGTATTTAATAAGAGATTGCAATCAGTCTGATTATCCATTGTTCCTCTGCATACATGTCAAGAATGTATTTTTTTTACAAATATTTCCACAAGACATTGACAAGTCCTAAAATAGTGGCAAAAAGAAAACTGATAGACACTGATGAGGCTCCATTGCATCCATCACTCTCACAGTAGCAGGTATTCTTAAACACTCCAACATCATCCCACTGCCATCTGCATCCCCAGGCAACACCTGTTGATGATAAGATGAATTTCACCATAAAATGCTTGCATATTAAATCTTAAACAAGGAAGGCAAAGTATTGTAATCTTGTCTTGTAACAAAAAAGTTTAACACTGAATAGATTTGTGCCAATTAAATCCCAAACAAGATTTTTCAAACAACCTAAAATACCAGAGATATGATTAAAAATTATTTTTAAAAAAAACATATATAAGAGTTGATTTAAATTTTGACAAAAGACCTTCAAAATTTCTAACTGTGCTGCCATGCTTTGTGTTGCTATGTGGAAACAACATAATGAACATACAAATTTCTTTCAAACTTTAAACAATGAAAGCAGAGTATTATAGTTGTATGCAGTAGTGGTATATGGTAGTCACTTCCCAGTGGGCCTAGAAAAATTTAAATGATGTTATAATGACTTATAGCTGCATGAAATATGATAGGAATATGATTTATATTCTCAGAAATGACAAGTATCATAATCGTTATGTCATTAATCTGCTGACAGACCAGATGAAACTAATGCATAGATGAAACATGACCTTGTAGTTGCATTTTCATTACTAGTCACATGACTTCCCATTTCTCAAACAACTACAT